AGGAATAGCACTGCCTGGCAGCACGGCTCCATCATGGAAATCCTGACACCAGGATGCAATAAATCACTGACAGCTGCTTGCCAATGGTAATTTGACATGGAGACATCAGTAGCTGGTCTCATCTGGAACAATACCACAGACATTACATAATTAAACAAGCGTGCGTGCATTTCACAAAAAATGCCTGCATCTATCATACAAAATCCGAACGTTTTCACAGGCTTGACACCGAGAAGAGGGGAATCGCTGTCCTCATTACAGAGCTAACGTTCAATGAGCCACAAAACCATCTGGGACTCCATCCAAGGTGATGGAGGGAGTTACTGACTAGCTCTGTTACGAAGCTCTTCCTGTGTTATTTGTGCCCTGAAATTCAAATCACTATACGAAGGGAGTTTGACCACAAAGACAAATCTGCTTATGTGAAAACAAGCCACGTGAAAGTCTCTGTTCCTCAGCAGCTGAGGGCCACCACCATGCTGGAGATATTCCTCCTCGTTTTTAACATGCTACAGCATCCTTAATTTTCACGTCAAAGATGGCAAGGGTTACATACGATCGAGATCTGTGCCTGGATCGACGGTAGTTTGGATCTGCCTGGTTTTTCTCCTTCTGTCGCCGTAGCACAGCTTCCCACTGGGGAGCCGAGTCAACCATGTCATTCTCTTGCCGTAATCTGCAAAAGAAGTAGCGCGAGTTCAGTCTGAGGTGTCTTATGCCCAATGCTCTGAGAAGCAATGGGGTATTCTTTCCCCACAAAAATCCAGCTCCTGAATGCAATACTTTAACTTTTCACCTTGCTAAATTTTAATTAATGTTCCCAAACTACATTAAAATGTAAGGACCTGTATCAAAGAAAACTCACTGGTTCATTATTTAGAAACAGCGTAATCCAAAAATGAGATGACCCAGCCCTTTAAGGACAGGTCCACAACTTGAATTTGTTGCCCCAGCCCAAGACAAACATCTCGAATTTTATTTCTGTTTACATATACCAGCCCACCTCACCTACAGCAAATGTAAGTCCCACATCATGATACAAGGCTCTACTACTACAACTTTTCCAAATACTTTGTTGCGGCACACACACCTTCCTAGGATCCAGGGAAAATCCCCCAGTGATGCCCCCGCTCAGAGGAAGTAGTCCCTTCACCCTGACCTGCAACAAAGCCCGGGATGCATGCAGCTCTCCATAGCTACCCCAGACATACATAATCCTGCCATCGCACCCCTTCTGCACTATCTTCTGTGACTTCGGCCCCTGCCTCTGCTTGTGTGCTTCTAAACAACATGATATGCTTTTATTTTTTCTTATTTTGGGGTTTTTGTTTGGGGTGTTGGTTTGTTTGGTTTTTCTTTTTGTTTGTTTGTTAAAATCCATTAATCCATTACTGGAATGTAGTACAGATTAAACCAAATGTCAAAATCCTATCAATTCAGCACATTTGTTATCAGGCTGAAGTAACTCTACGATGACACAACCCACCAGGCCAACCGGCGTGCCAGTGTTTGGCCACTCAAATTTCTACAGATGCTTCACAGTTTTGAGGTTGCAGATATGAGTGGTGTGATCTAAGGTGGAACAAATGGATGTGCTTTGGTCACAGCAGTGATTTTAAAATTCGGCAGGGATTTATAATAACCCTGGAAAATACCACTCCAAGAGGGGGTTCTCTGATAGGACGGTACAACTGGCATGCTGAGGAATCCAGAGGGACTTAACAAAAAACAGGAAGACTGACAGGTAAAGCAAACAAACAAACCAACAGAGATAAAGGGATTACACTGGAGATGTTGACTGCCTAGGAAATGCAGCGCATGCTGTTGTTGTTGCTCTTCACTACATGTGTGAAGACTACATGTCACCTTTCTCCTCGAGTCTCCAATAGTATCAGGCTAAACTGGCTATGCAGGCTGCTGCTTTTCCTTTAATCACATCTTCTCTCACATGCGTAATGAATTCTGAGCTGGATCCCCAGCTACTATAAACGGCCACCATTCTAACAAATGGCACCGAGCATCTGGAGAAGATGGCAACATCAGGTTCTGATTTGTAAGCAAGTCTTTTTAAACCTGTAATCTGGTGACAGGGATTAACATAAACTTCTGCCTAAGGATTTAGTAGAACTCACACAGCAACAAGTAATGAATTGTGATTTTCATCCCAAATAATCCAATTTGTGGAGACAGCAATCATCCCACATGGTATAAACACTATCAACTGCCTGTGGGGGGGGGGTCTGCCTGCTGGTCAGTACTTCACTCCACCTCTCCCAAAAAACAACTCCTAACAGGTCAAGTAGTCAGAGGCACTCAGATGCTCGCCATAAAAAAAAAAAAAAGAGCTATTCATTCTTCTCAGGAAACCCACACAACGCAGCAAAGCACAAGGCCCGTGCTCTGGCACAGCGCACATGAGACCCTGCACCTTGTGTTTGAAACCACACTTCCACAACGATGAGGAACGACCTCTCATTAAGGGAGCAAACACATAATTTCTGTTCCAGTCCATTCTACTAATGGAAATCCTTGGGCCTAACAGGGAATAAAACTGCAGTGACAGCAGAAAAGTGTTCTTGTACATAAATGAGTCTTAAAAGTTTTAAAGGTAAAGAAGGACAATATAAAAGAAGAAAAGATTTCAAGACTTAGGAGAACATAATAGCTGTCAATAATATATGGTTTCCAAAAAAAATTCAAACATTGTTGAGCACCACTTAAACACCATTTTTTAAACGAAATATAGCAATAAAAAGAAGGAAAAAATCCAAACTAGGCACTATCATATCTAAGTAGCATTACAATGAGATGGTCACAGCAAAGAAATCCTGGTTAGTTGATGCTGGGATAAGTGCATTAGCAGATATGCCTCTGGTTAGACCACACTGATGCCATCATGCAGAGGTTTTATGTCTTCCTTAGGTTCCTTCTTAAAATGTGCTTCACCAACTCTTTTGACAAACAGCATACCTAACAGGAGCCCCTGTTTTCCTATGGTGTGGTCACAATCTTAGATGATATTTATATTTTGACACTAGTAGGACTCTACTGCACTTTGGACACTTGGGCTCCATCATTTCCAAGAGTGACTTCAGCACGCAGATGCCATACAGGGCTACCTGTAGACATTTCCCCCTGCAGCTACAGAAGACTGATGATGAAGAACAACGCTACAGCACAGCACTGCTCTTTGATAGGAACACAGAGAAGGAAGTAACTCTTCTGCCAAATCTGGGACCACTGTAAGGTACGATTTTATTTCCCTGAAGTTTTCTCCATTCTGTTATACTGCAATGTATTTCCCCTGCGTTACCTTTTACACAACCTGAAGAAAAAACCCTGAAACTAAACCTTAGTCTCTGAAACTCGGGATACTATAGCTTTTGCATCTTGTAAAAGGCGACCAGAAAGTTTCAATACTACTTATTAAAAGACCATAATGTCCTAACTGTAGTCAAGAGAAAGCAAAAGTATGAGTAAGGAATTGTGTAAAATTTCCTACTTTTGAAATCATCCTTGCTGGTATTGATTCTGTTCCTGCATCAGTCCTCTATATATGCTTAAGTTTTCATCACATGCCCGCACTGTAATCCCATTCTACTTCAGCATTTCTTTTCCTTCCTAAATAAACTCAGTTTTATACTTTCACTTCTTTATTTGAAAGAACTGATGTGAAAAAAAATCGTTTAGATTTTTTCTATCTTCCGGTCTTCTCTGTCCCCTACAATGACTTTTGCTACATATCTCACTGAAAGATATCTTATTTACCTTCTTACATACTTACCCAATTTATTTATTTTCCATCTATGCCTTACTTTTTTTTTTCCTCCACACATTCCTACTCTCATTTGGTCACATCCTCAGCCATCCTCTATCACTTATTCTTTCTTCCTTATAGTCCCTCCTACTAAACTCCATTATTATTTGCTTGTCACTGTTAATAGCAATATTCTTTTTTTTTTTTTATCTATTACTGCTGCATGGCAAGCACAGTCCTGAGCAATGCATTCATTTATTTCCAGTTACTTCTTACTTCTACTCTGCCTCCTTTCTTCTACTTGTTGTAAATCACAACAATATTTATCACTGTTAGTTACCTCCTTAATTTGAGCAAAATACTGAAAATCTAAATATATAAAGCAGCATGGCAACTATTAAAACAAGCTGTGTCAGCACGCTCAAAGTACTGTTGTACCACAGCAGAACTCTACTAGATCGATATATGAAGCAATAAAGCATTCATTTTGCAGCTGCAAAGAAAGGTACTATGTTCACATTTAACAATGTAAAGGGTGACCAACGTAGCACAATCTCTACGTAAAATGTATTACTTAGATGCAATGATCAAATCGTAACAATTTTGGGGCAAAATCTTTAGCTTGTTGACAACAGAGATAACAACAGGAACAACAACAAAACCAAAGAAGTTGAGAGAAATTTAACTCAAAACCAAGGTTTCTATTTAAAGATACTTTTGACAAAAAAGTGTTGCCCTTGTACTCTAAGTCCATTACAACTTTCCTTTCAACAAGGGGACAAGTTGATTTATATCTTATAGAAAAAAAATCCCTGTTACTGGCATGTGAAATAAATCCAGTTGAGACTAATAGGTATGACAGTGACAAATTGGGTATTGTTTGCAGGAAGACTTGATGGTAAAATGGAAAGTCATAAGACTATCATCACTCATCTGTTGACTTAAGAGATTTTTTTTTCCCCATTTCAGGTGATATGATAGCAAGCTACATTTACGCAATGATAAATTCTCTTAAAACAAACAACTCTGAAGAATTGATTCCTGAAATCTTATTCAAAATATTTGAGCAGATAGTTATCATTTAGATACAATGCACAACAATGATGGGCTTGTTACAGATGTGAAGGCCGAAGGCAGCCTTAGCTGTAGTGACATGAGATGGTGGAATTCAGGACCCTGAGAGGAGAGAGAAGGGCACAAACAAGATCACAACCCAGGACTTCAGGAGAGAAGACTATGGCCTCTTCAAAGATCTCCTTGAAAAAGTCCAGTGGGATACAGCCCTGGAGGGAAAAGGGGCCCAAAAAGCTGACTAAAATCATCTCCTTTGAGCTCAAAAGAAGTTCATTCCAGTGAGTACGAAGTCAAGCCAAAATGCCAGGAGGCCTGCACTGATGAACAAGGAGCTTCCTGTCAAACCTCAAACACAAAATGGAAGCATGCAGAAGGTGGAAGCGGGGATGTGTAACATGGGAGAAATACAGAAACATTATCCAAGCATGCAGGGATGAGGTTAAGAAAGCCAAAGCCCAAATGGAATTGAATCTGGCCAGGGATGTCAAAGGAAACAAGAAGGGCTTCTATAAGCAGACAGGTGACAAAAGGAAGGATAGGGTCCACTGCTGAACAAGGCGCGGGATCTGGGGACACAAGACATGGCAAAGGCTGAGGTACTGAATGCTTGCTTCACCTCAGTCTTCACTAGCAAGACTGGCCTTCAGGACTCCCAGGTCCCAGAGGCCAGGGGAAAAGACTGGAGCAAGGAAGATGTACCCTTGGTGGAAGAGGATCAGGTCAGGGAAGACTTAAGCAAACTGGGCATACATAAGTCTATGGGCCCTGATGTGATACACCAATGGGTGCTGAGTGAGCTGGTTGATGTCATTGCAAGGCCTCTCTCAATGACCATGGCAATTGTCAGAAGTGCCCAAAGACTGAAGGAAAGTAAGTGTCACTCGTCTTCAAGAAGGGCAAGAAAGAGCACCTGGGCAATTATAGGTTGGTCAGCCTCACCTTGATCTCCAGAAAGGTGACAGAGCTGCTAATACTGGAAACCATCTCCAGGCACATGAAGGACAAGATCTTATCAATGCATATGAATACCCGAATGAAGGGTCCAAACTGGACATATACAGGCTCTTTCAATTGGTGCTCAGTGACAGGATCAGAGGCAATGGGCACACACTCAAACACAGGAGGTTCCCTCTGAGCATCCAGAAACACTTTTTTCGTGTGAGGGTGACCAAACACTGGCACAGGTTGCCTAGGGAGGTGGTGGAGTCTCCATCCTTGGAGATACTAGGCATCTGGGAATGGTTCTAGGTGACCCTGCTTGAGCAGGACGGTTGGACCAGATGACCTCCGGAGGTCCCTTCCAATCTCAACCATTCAGTCATTCTATGATTCTAATCTGATGCATCTTCTAAGTATAGTCAAGCAGAAGACTATGCTCCAGTAAGCATTGTCAACTAGTTTAACATATTTTTATCCACACAATAAATTCTGACCACAGCACTAAAAACACAAATACATTTCTTCTATGACTGAAATATGCTCATCATAGGTTCTTCCTCCATTTCTATGAACATCTGTGTAGGATAAAACATTCACATGAGGCAGTGAAATTTCAAAGACTTTTTGAGATCAAGTAAAGAGTTTCTCCCTAACCTTTTTCCAGCGTTCTACCTTCAGAAGTTCTCACCTGCATTTCTGTTTTTCTCTGATTATTTGTTTTCTCACAGTGATCTCTTCTTATGTGAACAAGTTATTCTACTCTTCTATGATCAGAAGCAGATTCTTTTGGGTAATGTGAGTATTCAGTCATTTTATTCCAATAAAACAATAGAACTTTGTGTCTGCTTGTGCCAGGGATATGATTATCATACTAGGAAATAAATTAGCATTAATCTATGCAACAGGTAAAACCTGAGTAACAGCAGTTGCAAGCTTCACTATATTGTCCCATTTAACCCTGTTAGGGCTGGCTCACTTCTGCTACGGGAAAGCTATGCAGTGCCGCTAACAAAATGCAAACATTAATTATGACTGTTGGTTTTCCTGCAGATGATGACAAGTAACAAGTCTCAGACCTCCAGCTCATTAAGTGCTTGTTTACTTTAACACTGATAATGCCTTTTGATCTGGTCTGATTTCAAGTGATGAAGAGATGCTGCAATATTAACATTTTTGATGTATCTTACATTTCTGAAAATGTGAAAAACAAAAATGATCCACGCACATTGATTTTTTTTTTTCCTTTTTAATTTTAAGCACTTTTCCATGAGGTGAGGAAGGGTAGGTAAAGGCCCTTTTATTCTACAGAAAATGATAAGCAGTACTTAATCCTTCTTACAATCCAATCTTTATATTGCAAGAAGCTCTTAAAAACATTCTTGTGGTCAGTCTCTAATTTCCTTCACTTGCTTGTGGAGCTCCCTGAACAAGAAGTTTCACAGGAGGAAAAAACCTGGCAACAGTGTTGTAAGAGAAAGGGATACCAAATACCATTTACCTACTGATCACTGAAACTATACTCAGCATTTCATTCAAACTTCAGAGCTCACCCGGAAAACAAACCTTCCATGCACACTAGGTTATTGTTAGCCGAGTATCTCACAAGACTGTGCTCTGATTTAAGTAAACTGCAAAGAAATCTCATGGCTCAACTATGCTTTATACCAGCCCATTTGAATGTCACAATGATTTTTTAGCATCTCTCTAACTGTTGCAAATGACACTTAAAGTATTATTACACAGCATACTTCTGCAGCAATATCTAGCACATGTTTATTTCTAAGACCTTCAAAATATACGAAAATCCTTTCTCCCTCATAATACTGCACATGAGGCAACAGGATACTATGGCAGCTTCTGCAGACAGCTTCTTAGAAAATTTGCCTTAAACAACTCCTCTTTTTTCCAGTGACAGTACTTTTATGCTCTGTTTATGCAATATGAAGAAATTCTATGTACTTTTTAAAAATACATTTTCATAAATAACTCTCAAATGCTGTTATCTCAAATGCAACATAAAAGTTGCAGGTTTAAAGGAATTTTTTGATACAATAAATCAGTTGTTATGCCAACTTTTTCTTATCAGCGACAAGAAAAATAGAATGTAAAAAAAATAAAACTTCCTAACATCACTCAATATAAACTGCTGTTGTCCTATTAAAAGCTGACATTGTACACATTTTGGGTTTAGGCCCACACTTTATATTTTAGAAAATAAAAATATTTATACAATTATGTGCATGCATTTAAAAACAATACTGAGTTTCAGATCCATTAAAATATGTTGAGTATTCTCCTCAAAAGCTTATTTTCTGCTAAAATTCTACACTTGACATTTTTGAGGTACTGAAGCATATGCTCTGAATATCTTGTCATCACCACTACCCACTGTATTTGCACTAATATTACAGATCTTTTGTAAGTGTGTCCTGTACTTGATTTTGCAGTTCATTAATTAATTTTTCCAGAGCAACAGGAGGTTATGCATTCATGGCATACACTTATAATGTATATTTTTTTTTGCAGTCATCTCTCTTCCTATTAAAAAAAGGACCTTAAGCTGCATCAGGAGGACTGTATACATATAAAACATGTTAGACTCCTTTTTATTAGGTCTATCTCAGAAAAGTCCATTCTCTACTTGTTTGTGTTTCATGTCTCTACATCTAAAATATGTAACAGTCACCTGTTTCTCTTCTTCCGGTGTTCTCTGTTGGAATTTTCTGATTCACTGCCACTGCTGGTGTTACAGCGAGACCGTGATCTGGAGAGGAGAAAAACAACATCTCAAGATGAATTTATCTCCCAACATCTTGTAAGAAGTACTGAAGTCCTCAACAAGGCATGAAAAACACTGCAAAGACATAACTAGGAAAATGAGAATTAAAACACTCTAGAGGGCTTGTCTACACCTGAAAGTCATATTATCTGCTTCTCATTAACTGATTGGGAGTAACTGCTTCAAAGGCAGTGCACGCAGAGTGCAGTGTGAGGTGAGTGCTATTTTCCTTTTGAATCATTGCACTGCATTTTTGTTCATTTGTTTTATTTTATCTCTCAGGATTCTTTGTCTATACGCAACAGTGAAATGTTTCTTTGTGATGTGAAATGTTTTGTCTTTAAACTGTGTGCGTTCTGGTTCTTTTCTTACTGCATATTGTTGGACACCCAACAGAAACGACGCAGTAATTCTTGCTTTGCAGGCCAAAAAAAATGCCCACCAGATCTGTCCTCTTCTATGCACCCCAACTTCCATATCGCTTCTAGTAAGTTCATATAATTTTTCAGGTGTCAGGCAGTAAGGAAGCGACACCACTAACACTGTGATTCTGCTGGTATACAGAAAGGCTGAAGGGCACAGATTGGCACGTGTGTGTATCAGCACAGTTTTGGGATGACGCGATGCACAGCTACAAAGATGGTGCATCATGTGAGGAAAAAGAAATAAAGTGGTTACTTTAGTGTCGCCTCCGATTGCGAAGCTTCAAGTGGTAAGGTGACGTTTAAGATTGATTATTTATTCATGAAAAAGACTGGTGGGACACGCTGATGCTGCGCTTCAAGAAGAAAATGGGTATATGCCTAGCTCTCAGTAGAGAGAAGTGCTTGGCCACTACTATCTGAGACCCTTAAATCCCTGATTTCCACCGATCAACATTTTGGAGCAGACAGACCAGCTGTCAGGGCTCTGATCCTAGAAACCAGGACTCCGTTACTGTACTGCTGGGCTAGGGAGAAGAGCCACAACAGGATGAGAGCAGACAAGAGACTTCCTAGGGAACACGACAGCAGCAGCATGGACCTCCCCTCTGTGTCATATCTGGTCAGGGACACACCACGCTACCCTCTGCCTCAGAAACTAGGACATGGTTACAAATGTCCTTCTGACACAGCTGACAGTCTCATGCCTGTGTCCATAATGCAAGTGAATTATGGCTGGTTTTATCAAATTGCTGTGTCATTAAATGCCTCAGAGTCTATGGTGCTTGGTCCCGCCCCCCACCTCGACTAAACTAGGGAACCATTAACTCAAATAGCTCCCATTCAAACAGAAATGTTGTGGAATAATAGCACAACCAAAGCCTGGGAAAATCAATTCAACCCAGCTTGTCTGCAGGGAGTTTGCTTGAAAAAGTGAAATTTCCCCCAAGGAGAAGCAGAAACCTCTCCCCATCCCCAAATTTCATGGCTCATAATTTAAAGCCATTGAGAGGATCAGGATAGCCAGTTTCCCAGGTAAAAATACACATTTCTGCGTGAAGCTGAAAGCGGGGATAAGAAAGATGTATATTACTACAGAAAAATGTAATCCCGAAGGACAAAGAAGATTGAAAAAAGGTGTCCAAAAAATAACGGCTCAAGCACGTTCAGAGAGTTCAGAGCAATAAATGCCCTAGAACTGCGTCAGACCTTGTATGCCCAAAAGTATACCTTTTTTTTACCCCCAAGTCTTATCAGATGCTTAATAAATATTCCACTAATCTTGAATCTCAACATTACTAGGTCATCCAAGCAACACTCAGACTTCCAGGTCATTGGAGCGACTCTGTTCTTTTACGTTTTCTCAGCACTCTGACCTAAGCAATTTATCCCATAAGGTAACACAGCAGCAACAAATCACACCATGGCAGGAGAAATGCAAGATAAAACATCCTGTTTGCTCCAATTCAAGATAAGCCTTTCTCTATCTTTTCAGGAATGGAAATCTGATCCACCTTTTGGATACTGCACACCAAATTACCTTGTGTTTCCTGTCAGGAAAGCACTTGCAGGGAGACAGAAGGGCTGCTGAGCTGTCAGCTGAGTGGCAGCTGCTCATGCTGGCTGTCAGAATATTATCTTTCACTGAATATTAAACATTAGCTTTTACTGAACTGAATAAATTGCCAAAAATGGAAACAACAGTAGTTTCCTGAGTCAGGTGCAAGAACACATGAGATCATCCTGATCTCTAACAATTACAAAGCACCTTTCATCCTTTTTGCTCATGCTTTCTTGGTCATGCAATATATTTCATATTTTTCAGGTGGTATATCTATATGGTCTGAACAAGGAGCAAGAAAGAAGACATAGTCAGTTTGCCAAGAGACACAGAAGAAATACAGTCCAGGAGGGGAGCTTGTGGGTGGGATGGGTTGCAGAATTTGGTATTTCAGAGAAACAGCTGACAGAAAAGGCTCATATTCTGGTGCAGTCCTTTTCTGATTAAAATAAGAGGAGAGTAGCCAACTTGTGAGGAAGTGGAGAAGGTCTATTCCAATATACAATAACAAACCTGTATATTTGTAATGTGATACAGCAGAGACAACCTTTGGGAAGAGGTCCCTTCTGAGCACTGAGATGCCAACTAAATCCTTTGAGTTTTATGTGCTGGACATCTACCACAGGACTATCGCGGGCAGATTGTAATGGTAACATCCTTCCAAAAAATTATCAGTTCTCTTGTAATAGGTGCAAAGTACGTGAGCACTTTCCCTGACTTCCTGTGATTGTCCCCGAGATGTTTCAGTCTCTGCCAGAGCTCCTTTCCTGTGCTGCAGCAGTGAGTCAGATCCTGGGAGTGCCTCCTCACCTTTGCAAGCTTCCAGAGGCTCTGACACCAAAATGCACTGCACGGTCTCCCTTCTCCAGCAGCCATGACTGGAGCAGAGGAGCGAGGAGAAGCACAGCACAGAGTCATGGCAGGCAGATGCGGCACTAGAGAATTCCAGATGCAAAAATCTGTCAAAAGCTGAATTTGCTGAAAGGCACACCCAAAGCCACACCAGCATTTTATTTGGAAACATGACAACTAGGCAAGACTGCACAGAGAAGAAAAAGCAGCTTAACAAAAAATTCAGAAAAAAATGAGCAAGACACTAAGAAGACCTTAAGAATTTGTGTATGTCTCTGCATCTACATTTTGCAGGACAATTCATCTCAAATGATAGTACACTTGCTTTCAAAACAGCTTCACTAAAAGCAGACTAGAAGGTTGGAGAACTCAAAACAAAAAGTGCAGATGCAAAATCCAAAAGCTAAAACTTCTGGAACTGACTTTCAAGTTGCATACAAGCCTTTAGCAAACTTCCACAAACTGCTTCTCGCATGCTGTAGTAACAATGTGAAAGACAGCGTATAGGAATCTATGCTGTGATGAGGTTATGCTACAGATTGTTTTAGCAAAAGTAAGCCAGGAAAGAAAAAATTAAATGGGCAGAACAAATCACAACAAGGTTTTTAAACATTTAAGAAGATGGGGGAGAAGAAAGGAAGTGAGGGGATGCAGGGAACTAAAATATGATCAGTACCTTCACTATCATTTCATGGCTGCTATAAATGATATATTTACCTTCTCCTTTGCTTTAAATCTGAATCTTCGCCACTGTTTTGATTTTTCCTGTGACATTAAGGAAGTTTTAATGAAAAACCGTGGTGTCACTTAACACAAACACACAAACACTCCCATCTTTTCTTTTTTTCTTAAATAAAACTTTACAAAGGTTTGGGTTGCTTTTTTTCATTATGATTTAGGGCAATGAAAAAAGGGAATGTGCCTTTTTTAAACTTTTCAGGACACCTCTACACTAAGTTGCAAAGGCATGATCCCATTCAAGCTCTCATTGCAAACCCCTGACTGACAAGGTTAAACATGGTATGCTGTCTTTTAGAGTTTCCCACTGTTTCCAGCATAGCAAAGCCTGATGTTTTCCTCTTAATTCCAGTAAAGAGTGCATAAACAACATGGCTATTGTTATTAAGCAGTTGAAAAAGGAAAGTGCATGAATAAATCCAAGATTCAGGAAGACATCATTAGGTTAGAATCTACCTACTATTGTCAGTCTTGACAGTCTCACATATGAGATAAGACTTTTAAAAATATTTTGTTGGTGTGGTGGCCCAAGAGAAAACTTGCTATTGGCATGACCACCTGTTCACTAAGTAGATCAGCCAAATTCAAATCCAAGACGATAAACACTTTGCATCTCAAAAAATTTCCCACTACATAGTGCACACACACTGTTCTTTTCTTGGTACAAGGCAGTTTTGCACTGCACATCTCTATTCCTTTGTTTTCACAGAGCCCAGCAAGTCCTTCTGACAACTAAGCGAGCAATGAATCAGAAAACCCATTCAGGAAACACATTGCTGTTAACACTTACAAGGGCTCTACCCAACAGGGTAAATCAACATAACCATATTGACTTAAAAGAGCGCTACGCTCATTTACTTTATCTCAGGCATGAGGTCACTAAGCATACACCATGGGTGAGTTTCTTCACTCCCGTTCCAGACAGCTAATGGCAGATAAAAGGTGTGCAGCAGCTCAGAAATCTGACAAACATAAAAGTTCCACATCTAACTACATTTCCTCAGAGATACAGTGGTGTCTTCAGAGATTCTTTTGCAAACCCTGGCTTTGAAAGCCAAACAGGTAATCACTTCAGAGGTGTCAGAAGGAGATGTAACTCCAAAGTGCTGGCTCATAAGGTAGTCCTAGAAGACTGTGATGAATACGGCACAGTAGCTATGCTTGTCTATGCTTCACAGCACATCACAGCACCAGGGTACCTCAGTGATGAAAGCTGCTTCTCAGCAGGACAAATCATCCTAGGTAACATTTAGTCTCTCTAAACTGTATCACTTCAGAACTGTCCCTGTAATTCGAATCTTAGGCATACTCCAGGACACACAGCACAGAATCTCCATCCCTTTCATTTTACTTCTTTAAATTACTCAATTCAGCATGTACACCTTAAAAACACATTAAGTATCTCACAACTGTATTTTTTCTGGCATCCTGTCTAACGTAAAGTAATTCACACATGTGACTGCTGAAGACAGCTTTATGGCTCATTCGTTTAATCTTTGTTGCACTTAAAGCAAAGCAACGTACTTAAAACAAAATACTGCTTTGTATTAGAAGCTCATTGTCACGCAAGCAGCGTCCATCAATCCTTTCCTTCACAAGGCAAGTATGGATGGAGCAATGGAAAGGATCTTGCACATGCCAATAATGCAATTTCTCATATTTTTAACCTAATTTTCCTAGTACCCAGAACAGCACACAAGCAAAAATCCTGACCAAAGCTTCCTTTCCAAAAGCACATCTGGTATTCTTGCTCTTTTTTTTTTTTTTTTTTTTTTTTGACTAACACCTGGCCCCTAGAGTACCCCTTTTCCCAGGACCCAGCTATATCTCCAGGAGTCTTTACTGAACATAGAGCATGCATGACCTCATGCTTTCTACTGTGAGATGCTAACAGTAATTAACCCCAGGGCTCTTACCTCCTCCGGACTGGCTGTCCACACTCATTCTCGCTGCCACCTGATGGGTTCCGTCGCCGCGAGTAAGGAAATTTTGGTGATTTATTGCGGTCACTGGGAGAATTATACAGCCCACTAGGGTTAAAAAGGAAGAGCAAACGGTCGGCTTTAAAACTTTCAGGAGAGTTAGGCCAGAAAACTGAGATTCAGCTTACAAAAACGAGAAGGCTCCCACACACACATATATACATATTCAACTATACATGCATGTATGTGTGTGCGTGCTATGTAAATACAGATGGTACTGCTTTGCAGCAATAAATATTTTACAGTGAACCTTGAAAATGTAGGAAACCTCTTAGCATTGCCGAGCCAACAGTTCTAAGCTTTCAAAATTTAAAACCAAGTATATACATATTCTTTTAGCATTATAAAATGTCTGTGCTTTAGTATGAGCTATTCAACCCACAGCTAGGCATTCAAATGTACCTCTATTCTTTATGTGTTCCATGGGTATAAGCATGAAAATAGTGTTTCTGTCGTGACATACATCTTTATCACAGAAGTAATGCTTGGGACCGTGAAACAATTTTAGCTCCAACTCTCTGCTGTTCATCCACACAACCCTCTGCCAATGGTGTGGAAGCATTTCAAGCTTCAGGTTATGTACCTAAGCCTGGGTGGGACTCAATGGGTTGGGTTGTTCCCGAATTAGATGTAGACTATCAAATGCCTGTATGGATTATCCTGATACCTTCCTACAGGAGTGTAAGGACCTCTTCCAACAGTGTAACAGAGCCTGCAATGGAGTACATGTGACTCCAAGGTGGTCTACTGATGTTCTGCAACTTTTTGGAGGAAGGATGCTACACTCAACCACATGTCTTTATTTAACATTACTTAGCCCTTTTCAAAACAACTATGTGGTAAATATGATATTCCCACCAAATTCCACATAAGGTATTTATTTCTGTGTTCCTAAAACCCTCTGGCCTTCAGATTGGACACTTTCTTTGTCACCTGCTTCTGCAGATTGCTGATTACAGCATTTCTCTGCACAGTCGAAAAGCTGCCATGGTTCACCTCAATGAGAATTATTATTAGAAGCTGTGAAAGCCTCTGTGCAGCATACAGTCTGCTTCTGTGCCTAAAACTGCATAGTCCTTTAGCATAGGTGGACTTGTGAAAACTCAATCCTACCATTTTTTGGATCCTGGGCAATCAAACTTCCTGCTATCCTGAGAGCAACTTTAACACTGGAGGCATATCATGACAAGCTGCCACCACTTCTTTAAAAATCACATATAAATGTCTATCCTATCAAGAGAATATTTACACACTGCCTTGTGCTTTCTCTGAAAACTCTTGATCTTTACAGAAGCAGCACACAAGGTAAATCGTTGTTGCAGATCTGAATCATCTCATAAAAGCAGGGCTGTACTGGATCACACTTAATGTGCCGCCTGGTTCAGTGGTGTGTTTCCAACAGTGGTCATAAGCAAACACCTACAGGAATCACAATGCCGAATGTATATGACAGCCCCCCAGTGCTCTCCCAGTCCCCCACTGTTTCCAGCTAGCTTACTGAGCCACCTGCTATACCTTTGTCTTCAGAAGCCCTTGGGGATTTCTCTTCCATGACTCACCCAGCTTCTCCCAGGAATCCAATAACTTCCCATACCCGTTGTAAAGGAGGACCACACGTCTCCTAACTCAGGGCGAGTCACTACTCACTGTCTTTCTCAATGCTTTTAAACCACCTCCAACCGCTTCATCTGAAGATCCCAAGTCCTTACACTGGAAAAATACAATCCTGATCTCTTTCTCCTTTCTCTCTACTACTCATGACTTTCTAGACCACATACCCTGAAATGATCTCTTTCCCAGACTGAAGAAAGAGTCCTGCCTGGCCTGTTCCACTGCTCCTTGTACAGAGTTTCTGCACAGCCATTCACACCTTTGACTACGCTTGCTGCCCCTCTCAAAGCCTCTTCCTTTTCCTGAGATAATGACATCAGAACTGCACTCACAATTCATGGAACAAATATGCGATCTACAAATGTGTGTAACAGCATAATGCTGTTCTCTTGCTTTCCTAATAATTGCGAATTGTTTTTCTGACTGCTACACAGCTGACGATTTCCTGTGGTTAGCCATCGTAATGCCACAGCACCTCATTTTACTCAGAAATCTAGGGTTATTTTTTTGATCCCATGTGCCTCTCTGTACACTTCCTGACTCAACATCATCCACCCTCTAGTGACTCATCACTCATACTTTAGGGGTCTTTCTGCCACTCTTCACAGACAACTTTCACTCTCACTGTCCTAAAGAATTCTGTCCCATCACCAAACCTTGTATATCACCCCTTTTCCAGATCTTTGACAAATATACTCAACAGCAGAAGTCTATGAACAGATCCCTGTGATAAGCCACTGCTGACTCCCATCCACCAACCACTTTGCTAAATTTTAACTGATTATTTATCCATGACAGGACGTATCTTCATATATGCAATACAGATTTATTGTGAACCTGTTAATACATTAGTATATTACAGCAATATCCTTCAACCTATTGCCATGGCATGATATTTACCATTGCACAATACCTAAGACATCATCCCTCGCCTTACCTCTGTGGGCCATTTTCCTCCCACGGTGCGCTTGTTTTACTTCTTTGGGTTTCTGGACTGTTTTCATTTTTCATCTTTTTAAAGCTAAATAGAAGTACAGATATATTTTTTTTCAAAACCCGTACTGTAAAGATCACATATTCTCTCTCCCTCACCTCTTAAAAATTAATCTTAAAGGCATACAGTGGTGACAGAGACCCACCTTGGCATACAGCTATTTGCCTGCTATGTGAAAGAGGGCAAAAAGCTGCTATGTTGAAGAATCTCTCCTAGAAAGAGAGATTGGAAGAAAAAGAAAAAAGATCTGAAACATCAGTTCTACAAGCTCACAATTATGGCTGCACTGAGTCAGAAAAAGGTCAGTCTTGTCTCAGAATAAACAAGAACAGATGCTTAGGCAAAATGTCTAACAATAGGGCAAATATACAATACGCTCTTGCAGTCTTCCGCAATATGCAGTTAACAGACTATTGAACTAAAGGCTTTATCTGCTTTGTATTTTACATAGCTCTTGATATAACTTTCTTCCATGGATTTACTTAAACACCTCTTGAACATTTTTAATTTTTTGGCATAAATAGTGCCTGGTAGCAGCATGCTCCAGTATTTAACTATGTCACAAACAATTATTTTATTTTGTTTCAAAACTTCCACTTGGTTCAAAACTTCCATCCTGTGTTCCTCACTAGTTCTGTGCTTATGGAAAGAAAAAAAAGCCCTGTGAATGATGGTCTCCTAATCACAAACTCCACCCCATAATTTTTTTAAAATACATTTTTAACTACTGCGTCATCTCTTTTTCAAGTGAAAGAATCACAGACTATTTAATCTCTCCCGGTATAGGAGTCACTACATACTTCTGATTATCCTTATCACATTTCTCTACCATTTTTCCGGGTCTACAGTACCTTCTTGAAGATAGGAGCAACAAAGCCAGGGGTGATAATTATTCAAAACATGACAGACCACAGGTTCATAAAGTAACATATTCTTCTATTCCTTCCCCAGTAACTCCTTATGTTTTCTCTTTGCTCTACACTGAGCATAGATCTGACAATATGAAAGAGCTGTCTTCACCAGCTGCCGCAAGGTAAAGTACCAGGAAAATCAAGATAGTCACCTGGCTGAAGAGACACATCAGTGATTGTAACCAGTCTCCCATTGTAAGTCTGGGAGACAGTGGGAAAAACAGCAGAACCGTCCAATTCTTCCTTTATTCCTACCATTCTCTCAGAGTCAAGTTTTATAACTTCCAACCCATGAATGCTCCTAGATAGCCTGCTCACTGCCACTCTGAGTGCTGGAAGGTGGCTTCTAGCTCAAGCATGCTTTTGCAACCATCTCCTCACCAAAGGAGATGATGCTTTTCCTGCATCATCATCTCCAGAGCTCGCTTTCTACATGAACAGGCAGTTCACCTGATACAGAACTAGATAGCCACATTGATTTCCACTAAGCTCTTCAAGAAGTATTACTGACAGCTACACACTACAAGCATTAATCCAACATATCTTTCCAAAGTGCTACTTCTGCAGAAAAAAAAAAAAAAAAAAAAGGCTTTACAGATGCTTACAGAGAGGAGGACATAAGCCAGAGTTCTTTGCCCAGAGTAGGAGTTGACAGACTCGTCTTTACGAAGGAATTGTGGCTACTTAACTCGCTAATCCACTTTTAACCTCAGCTTTTGGCTACTGCAGGTCACTGAGTTAATAATTTCATTCTCACATAGTGAACATAGTGAACAAAGCTACAGTATGTCAGCAGGGAAAGGAATTAAATTACACTTTATCAGGTAAATCATTTTCTTAATACTGCACCCATTAACCATTGACTCATATGTGCGTACAATCTATTCCCAGGCTTAAAAATACATGATTACAACAGACTAAGCAAGTAACTCAGGTAAATATGCTTCAGTTCTGTATTGCAAAAAGCAACTGGTTTTGCACAGCATAAACCACTGAACAATACTTAGATTGAAGTTGGGCTTAAAGATATTTAATAGTGTTCTCAAAACTTAATAAAAGAGAGGGAGATCCTGGGAGGTGAGTTCACCACATTAGATTCCTAAGTCATTATTCATTCAGAGCAGATGCGCACTTTACAGCTAGAGAGCTAGGTCATGACATCTCTTCAGATACTAGTAGTGTCTTCAGGAATGCAGCTGAGTTCATTCAAAGTATTTGAAAAGGTTAGATCTGAATTTCACATGAGATTACTGTTGTTGGGAGTTTTATGGTTTACCTTGAATTTATACCACTTACGCAGAAGCGACCAACTACGTATCTCAACAGCGAATGAGATGTTAAATTATGAAAACTAAGCTTGTAAGAGCTGCTGAAAGCTGCTTTGCAAGCATGACTGACAGTTAATGCGAGAATTACATAGGATGGAGTAAACTACCGAACTGTAAACGCTTCACAAATTATGTGTTCTGTCTGTCATGCATACTAAGACTGGCAGACCTGAAAGGTGTTTTACATGTGCAGACAGAGACACAGAGAAAAACAAATAAATTTCTAAAGAAAAAGCACGCAACAAAAACAACTTCCAACACTTTTTTGCTGGAAGTGACTAACACTATTTAAAACCATGACCCAGAGAGAATCTGACTGTGAATTGCTTTTAAACTGTCAAGGTAAGAAACTAAACTCTGAAACCTTGAAGCTGCCACGTTGAGAGCCCCTTATTTTGGTTCTTGTTCTACAACCTGTCTATCCATTTCTTTCTAACAGTTCAGTACTAAAAAATTATGCACAGCATTTGGAGCACAAGCTGTAGTGAAAGGCTCCTCTCCCTTCCCAATAAGATCATCTCTCCACTATGGAGTAAGTGTACATCTTTGCTTTTTACCTTTCTCTCTCCTAACAAATCACAGAATGACAGAATGGTTGGGGTTGGCAGGGACCTCTGGAGGTCATCTGGTCCAATCCACTGCTCAAGCAGAGCCACCTAGAGCCAGTTGCCCAGGACCATTCCCAGATGGCTGTTGAATTATCTCCAAGGATGGAGGCTCCACCACCTCCCTAGGTAACCTGTGACAGTGCTTGGTCACCCTCACAGGGAAAAAGTGTTTCTGGATGTTCAGAGGGAACCTCCTGTGTTTCAGTGTGTGCCTGTTGCCTCTGGTCCTGTCACTGGGCACCAACGGAAAGAACCTGGCTATGTCCAGTTTGGATCCTCCATTCAGGTATTTATATACCTTTGTATTGTTTTCTGCTCAATGGTCTAGCTTCAGC